CGCCGACAATTGCTCCGCCGACAATTGCTCCGCCTACAATTGCTCCGCCGACAATTGCTCCGCCGACATCTGCTCCGCCGACAATTGCTCCGCCGACATTCGCTCCGCCCCAAAGTACCGCGTTGAAGACAAATGCTCCCTTTTGCAGGGAAAACAAGATAGGAAGAAAGGAAAAGAAAAGAAAAGAAAAGGACAAGAAAACATGGAAAAGAAAAGGTCAAGAAAAGAGACGAGAAAAGGCTGAAGACAAGGGAAAAGGGACACAAAATAGAATATAGGAAGATTAATGAAGGTAAATCTTGCCGGCGCTGCGTCGGGACACGTCGGAGAAAAACTAGAAATAAAATGGAGTATGAAATATACTACATGCTCGTGAAATAATCATTAGTGATTAAGGCAGATGGTTTTCAGTTATTATATGAAAAGCATGAAAATTCGTTTGCCCGCTACGCTTTATATGTTCGTAATACATTTTGTACATCAGTGATTAACAAGCGATGCTGGTCACGCAGATGCTTTTTAATATGAAATGGCAAGCCAAAGAATTTCGACCATTCGTTAACTAGCTCGCTCGCCAACAAGGAATAAACAATAAATCCTGGAATAATACTTGCCTATTTGATTCAAATTAAGGGGAGTAATGGAGAAAAATTCTATTCAAGATTATAACCTATGATTTTCACCTTCCTTGTTCGCCAAATTAACAAATCAAAAACAAACAACAAAACATCCCCTTAAAGATACAATTTCCCTTTTGCAGCCAACATCAAATTATGTAGAAATTTGCAGGAATTATAAATATGTCATGGATGTCCTATCTGTGAAAGTTAAACGTTAGCAGTGTCCTAATATTCAAATTATGAAGGAAACCTGTTTATTTGCTAGGCTTCACTGATTAGACACTATTGAGTGACAAACTGGCTTTTTTTCTTCTTTGGTAATAACAAACATAAAATGAGCTGTAAAGGGTACATGAGCATTTGTCTACATCAATAACCCACTTCTTGTAAGGGCCAAAATTAAACTGATTGAATCTTTGCGCAGCATAAAACATACGACCATTCGGTACAATGGTCTGAAAATCAGACTATTACTTACTGGCTTTATAGCCCTTAAGTCGATTCGACAACTAATAGTCGTTATTTTTCCACTTAAAGACATTTTCAAGCCCCCCCTTTTTAGGGAAGTTCTAAATTAGTATTTACTTTCAAATGCCGTTGGAATTTAACCTTTTCATTTTTGTTGGCCTTCAAATGGGACATAGTCCCTTTAAATGTGTTTGTGCCCTCTCTTTCAAGGGACAAGACGACACAGTTGGTTATTTAAACAAATATGCCTATAATTATTATCAAAAGAGAAGTGCAAAAGAACTCGCTCACATGCTACGCTAACTCGCGATTATAATTTTTAACATATTCATTTGACGAATGTGCAGCTTCTTAACGTCAGACGAAGAATGGCGGAAGGCAGGTCGTGCTATTCAATATAAAATAAGCTTAAAACCGCCCGCTCGCTAAAAATAAAATTCACATCGCCTTAACTATGAATGTGCCCGACCCGTCCTGCAGCAAGAAAACTCTGTTGGATACTCATTCATGGGTTGAACGTTCGCTGTTCAGTTTATGGTATAGACGTGCAGGAATATGGTATTCAATATTATTGATAAGTCTACATTTTTAGCTCTCTCTTTCTCGCTATATACCATCGTTTACCAAAAGGGAATAAATATAACCTTAAATGATATAGTGCCCAAGAAAAATCACTATTTGTTGAAAGAAGGTCTACTAAAGGTTGAACACAGTTTATCTGTTACTTAAAAGTTTCTGCACCTGCTCCCCACCCCCCCCCCCCCCCCCCCCCCCCTCAAAAAGGGATTGCATCTTTCGCAAATGTTTATCACTTTTTTCCCATCGGTGTCATCTGATCGGGGAATTAAAACGCACCCCCTTCTCAGAATGCTGGCTACGGCCCTGAATAACAGCAACAAAACAAATCACACAAAACAAAAAATAACCCATGAAAGAAATATTGTCGGGGGAGCATATATGTCGGCGGAGCAATTGTCGGCGGAGCAATTGTCGGCGGAGCAAATGTCGGCGGAGCAATTGTCGGCGGAGCAATTGTCGGCGGAGCAATTGTCGGCGGAGCAAATGTCGGCGGAGCAATTGTCGGCGGAGCAACTGTCGGCGGAGCATTTGACGTCGGAGCAAATGTCGCGGAGCAAATGTCGCGGAGCAATTGTCGCTTTTTGCGGAGCATTTGTCACCGGAGTAATCGTCGCCGGAGCATGTGTCGGGTTACCACGGAGTCACTAGAACGTGTCGTCATGAGATAGTTGTAAAAGTTTAAAAATAGAAATAGAAGAGAATGTCTCTACATTGAATTAAAAGTGAGCTATAATTGATATTACTTATATAACTTTATTATGTAGCAAATAGATCGAAATAAAAGCTTTCAGCGGTAGACCCAAATGAACGAAACGTTATCTAATTTTACTCTCAATTCATTCTATATAAGTGCGTGATTTTGTTTTAAAAATATTGTAAGGGACGACCATGGCGTGACTAACATGAACACCTGCTCATCTTTTCAAGTATTCGAAAGCACTAGTAGGTTCCAAACTTAACCTGTATAATAATTTGTGTTTATTTTGTATATAGATGTCACTTTCTTTTAATCTATGCACAAATAAAAAGCAGTTATTCTTTCATATACATACCTTATTGTATGTCGCGGCGCTTTTGTCCTTCATTATTTTAAAGCGCGCGGAGGATAAAAGCGCTGAAACAATAATAATGACAAAGAAACATTTTTGATAATTCAAACAATGATTAAGAGTCGGCATGGGTGTCGATCTGTAACTGATACCTATTCATCAGGGGGGATGATCTATTCATTCATCCCCCCTATTGAATAGGTATTACGTAAGGATCGACACCCATGAGAGTCGGTACAACGAATCGTCTTCTTTGTTCTTTCTCTAATAATTTAATGAAACGTCAAAGCTTCCGCGCTTCACGCGGGAGGGGGAACTTAAATTCAGACAAGGATTAAGAGTCGAAAACCGTTCTCTAATAATTTAATGAAACGTCAGCACGGTGAGGGAAAACTGAATTCAGACAAGGATTAAGAGAAAAATATCATAATAATAAATACAGTACAGACTACATCCAACTTTCCATCTCCCGCCAACCCACTCTCTTCCCCTCTCTCCCTCTCTCTGTCTATGTCCATCTTCATCTTTGTCCATCTTCATCTTCCATAATGTTGTCTATTCCGCCATTTGCTTGTTTCCCGGCATCATCCCTTCCTTGAGATTAATTATTATAACATATTCCTGATGGTATACGTCGGACATTATACTTTAGCGAAAAAGATATAATCAAACCAACAGACTAACTAAAGAACAAAATCAGAGCGGAGGGGGGGGGGGTGATCGGAGGGGAGACAAATATCATAACAAATACAGGTCTATACAGGCTACGTCCAACTTTCTAACCCCCCCCCTCTCACATATAGGCCTACCTTTTATTTAGTTTAGGGAACGAAATAGAGAACCAGCGGCTGATAATGTCGAAATGAGAAGAATATTACTGTAAAATTATAAAAAGTAAAACCTTTGAATGTAAATCTCTGTTGCATCAAAATAAAATGAAACGTTTATCACATTATACTTTAGCACAAAATAGTTGTCTAAAAGAAGGTGGACAACATTATAATAGAAAGAATGAAACTTTCTCTTTTATTTACAAACGTATAAATAGCATAAATATTAAATAACCTGCTTCTGACCGCTGCGCTAGCGTAGGCGTACTGCCTTTGTACGTAGGTGGCGACTGTGTATAGGGGGCGACTGTGTATAGGAGGCGACTGTGTATAGGAGGCGACTCGACCACACAATTTGGGGGCGACTACGTTAGGAGGCGACTGTGTATAGGAGGCGACTGCGTATAGGAGGCGACCGGCTTGGGGGCGACCTGACCAGACACCGTTAGGATTAGAGTTAGGGTAAAATGACAAAAAATGACCGTTTTTGCAGCTGGGCCGAGTTGTCCCCTGGTCCGAGTTAGCCCGGATCCATCTACATATGATATGGACTCTACATTGAGGGTAAGTATTCTGTGAGTATTTGCATAAAAATAGAATCGGCAGTTCCCGCGGATCGGCCGCACACCGGAGCCACTAGATTTAGACCCTACATCAACTATAAAACTGTCTGTCCAGATCTAGATCTATACAAATTCAAAAGCTTAAGGGTCTAGTCTACTTTTACTTTTTAGTTTTATGACTTTTCATGGTTTTAATTGCACCTTAGCCCCGCACCTCTAAACTGTACGGTATTTTTAAAGATAAATGCATTTTTCTGTTTCAATGTGGGCTCGCTTTCGTACGAAAAAATAAGACGCCGCCCGCCTTGCCTGCATGCTGCTCGCATGCTGCTCGCGAAACCAGCAGCTTGGCCTGCTCTGCTCATCGCCTCCAGTTGGAGCCGCTGCGGCTCGGGGCGCGAGGGCCAGCAGGAGGAGCAGAGCCAGCGCCAGAGCCAGAGCCAGAGGCCTGATAACTGTCTGATTTTGTGAACCAGCACAAAAATCGTTTAATAAAATTCTGTTTTCTCAAATGTCATACCCAGTAAGTGATCGAGTGATGGAACACCAGTAGAGACAAGCAACTGTCCATTGTGTAGGGACGGTCGAGTTCCTCGTACAGAGAAATTCTTGGATTTCCCCCGCCTTTGAAAACTCGTTTTTGGTTCACAGGGCGCTGCCATTTTGTTTAAAGTAACCTTATTTAAGGCTAATGTAATAAAATAATCTTGTATACCTTTACTTTTAGAACTCTATTAGAAAAAAAATGAGGCAATAAACAAATCTCTATAAGATGAAAAATGAAATAACTCATAAGAAAGAGATCTAGATTGTGTTTAAATACAAAATTTAAGAGTAAAACAAATGTTTCAACAATTTATGACCAATCTAAATTTATAAGTATACCTGGAAATACACTAGACGTTACAATTTCAAAGTGATGCACAACCAGTCTGAGTCTGACTGTTTGATGAATGAAGAAGGAACAACATGACTTCTCAATCTCAGGAAGTAGGCGATTTAGAAATCATAGTTTCACATGGTATGAACTTTATGATGTGTTATTGTGTTTAGTTTTGTGTTGTCTATTCTGTTTGTTTGTATTATTTTGTAGATTTGGGGGTCTATTTTTGTTAATGTTATCATGCAATTATCATGTTTAACTTAGTTGTGCGGCCGCGGCCCGGTGATGGTGATCGTTCATTTCATTTCATTTATTTTCATATTTCTCATGTTACATATATTATAGACCTACATTTCAAATAAAGTAAAATTTGTTTTTTCAATGATACATAATAGATAACATAAAGATAATGGTCAATATGGAGTTGTGATTTAACAAGGAGTAATATGAAAGCAAGCTTGTAAAGTTGTAAAGATGTTGGTCCCAGTGAAATAGTTTGTGGTAATATTATAAATGGAGGACGGATGACCAGTCTAAATGAATAATAATTTAAAAAAAAGGAAATAATAATAAACAGGCAGTGGTGCTGTTTATATTGTTCCTTCCTTTCTTACTGTACATGTAGACAAAAAGTACACATTGGTCTATACTTAAATTATCGTACAATGGGTGCTCAGCTGCTAGCTGGTAAACAAACCTTAGACCTACACTGTACAGATAATAATAAAATGATTACATTTGTATATACATTAATAGATATAACGAAGCGAGCAAGCACACTGTGTTGTTGAAGTTGTATAGGCCAAGTTTTGTAATCTGTTATCTTTTGTTGTATCTTCCACAGATAATACAGCACTAATATTGTTGTAAATTGGTATTCTGAAAACTATTTTAATCCTGTATTATCTCTTGAAGGACTGCCTCTATCTTATCTTTGACACACCCATTGTTGTCAATCAAGATCTACATGTATTTCATTATATTGACATGATAAGAAAAAAGTAGGTCATGCAATAGGAATACTTGGGCGTAATTAGTTTAAATTGAACGCATATTATGTGCATCATATGCGCTGTGGTATGTGGATCATGAAGACAAGTCGCGCTTTCAGAAGGTGTAACACATTAAGCTCCGTTGAGCTTCAGATTGTTTTTAGCTGCACATAGAATTCTTGTAGAGCCTTTTTACTTGCACTCAGCACTTGACAAGCACAAGGTACGATAATACGCCAACAGCGGACTGTACTATACTGGAAGAAGAAGAAGAAGAAACATCACAGAGATGAGAGCATATCACATCGTCATATCCCAGCATGTAATTTAATTCTTAGAAAGTTCTCATCTGTGATGTCTCCGGTCAACACACAATCTTCTTCTAACTCTTCTAACTCGTCTATTGGCACGAAGTTGGTTCTGGGCAAGGAAGATTGCCGCCATTATAACACCACAAAAGATACAACAACCCCCTACCTATTGTACATATTGTTGTAAATACCATGCATGATAAGATAAGATAAAAGATACAACAATTTTAAGAATACCAATTATCTTGTCCTTTTATCTTCCATGCGCATATGCTAATGAGGATTAAGCGCCATTTTATTAATAATACACACTATTACAAGCGCACAAAGTTTGAGCGCAGACGCAGCCAAGGAAATGAGAGAAAAGATACATCAAAAGTTACAACAATGTTCAGAATACCAATTTATCCTATCTTCAATGATAGCGAAGCACATGGTTCAGAATACGTGCTTGTGTTTTCATGATTTTGTGTGGAGAAAAACAACTTTACACTTAAATTTCCACTGATTACAGGTTGATGATTTCTAAAAGAGTGATTGAGAGATGATGATAGACGAGACTACTACCGGTAAATTTGATGAAGATGACATGATAAACATTCAAAGTTGTAATCGATCAAACACAATTTGGCAACTCAGTCGCCCATAAATAGCAAAAACATTTTAATCCTATACTGGTCTAACCCTTGACAGCGACACATGAAAACAAAGATTTTAAATACTGTCCTTAGTTAAGCCAGACTTAAATAAGCATGTTTAATAAGAACGAGTGATCTGTTGTGAATTGACTACATAATTTGTTTACATTGTAACAGGGCCAGATAAACATTGTGTGAGTCTCCCTGGTGCGGCTACTGTGGGTGATCTGTCTTTGAAACTGGAAGAGTTGACAGCAGTTCCTGTGGGTGGTCAGAAGATCATTAATAGAGGTAAGATCATTCTTTAGCAATATGGTCAATGTCAATGTCAATGTGATGGTTATTTTACCTGACTGCTAAGAAAGCATAAATGCTTGTAAGTAGGCAACCAGATGGCCAACGGCTTTAGGTCCTCTCTGAGGGACCTGGTAGTGAGGATTTATTCCTTACTAAAGGGCACTATAGCGCATCGCCTTGGTTTCGAACCCAGGTGACCGGATTACGAGACCACTGCTCTACCAACTGAGCCATCGCGCCTCCTCAATTAAGATCTTAAGTTGTTTAATTTCTTGGCATAGATATACTCGTGCAACCCTGACCACTTCTTCCAACTACCTAGCAGACACAATGCACAACAACAAGAGGTGAAAGTCTCAAGCTTGCAAAGCCGAGGTGTAGGACAAGTCACAAATGTAAGGATTCCTGTTAAAGGTATAGACCAGTTCTGGTCGTGCGATTGCATTGTGAAAGAAACGTGGAATCGATCAGAAAAGGTTGACTATCTAGCATATAAGTATTGGTGTGTACTGCAAGGTTTTGGAATCATCAAAATGATAAGAAATTTGGCCCAATCTTAGTAAAGTTACAAGCACTGTACACAGAAAGATACTACGTGATATCTATCAAAGCTGGATCGATATGATAATTTACCAAATATACCAATTAGTAGGCGGTTTCAGGGCAAAATTTGTATCATCATGTATTAGTCAAAACATTTTCTTTCACATGATTGGTAATACGAGCTTCCATTTCATTTTTTGAGAGGGGGCGTTTTCAAAACTGGTCTAAACCTATAAAGAGGTTCTCACTAGTCTGTGAATTACAAACAAAAATGTACACAAAAACTACAAACAATCTTCATTTTCACATAAATGTGCTGATGATAATATTAGAGACAAAGTATGTTTTAGAATGAATTATTTAGCAGTATATTATTCAATGGTTTATTTTATAATCTTCAGGCCTGATAATTCCCCCTTATTTTCTCTATTCTTCCCTATTTTGCCCTATTTTTTCCCCAATTTTTTCCCCAATTTTCTTACTCGAAAGGGGAGAATGTTGTTAGATGCCATTTTTTCCCCGCGAATTCCTCTTCTTTTTTTTAACTCAAGGGGGGCATGGTTGAGGGGAAAACAAAAAACCTTTTTTTTTTAGTGCTCACTATTCCCCCTGAATCTTGGGGTGTCTGTTAAATGCAATCTCTTGAAAAGAAGTCTACTTTATCTTTAATAACCCATTGGAATGATCGTTGATATCTCCACAGGTAAAACTCTTATGAATCATGATCTGAATGTGACAGAAGCCGGTATCAGGAATGGAAGTAAACTCATGCTCATCGGTAAGAAGGTAAGATCAACATCTAAACCATTTTGATTTCAAGACTAAATGTTTGAAGAGATGTTGTGGTCTGACTGTGAACCACAAGGCAAGGGTTTTGAGTTCCTACCTCAGCACTAATTGAATTTCTTTATTGTCATGCACAAATAATAGGAAGGCATAAAGTTGTCTTACAACTGACATGCGTGTAAAATATATCATTACATTAACATATCATAAACAAATAACTACAAATAACGTAAATAACATAAAAATGTAATATAATTCACTCTCTCTGTTGAGAGCCAGGGGAATTATTTCATTATTTGTACTCCCCTGGCTCCCATCAGACAATAACTTAAATATATTCTAGAAAATGTTTATGACAACAATCAATGACATATAAATAGAACACATCACGGTCAAGATCTAAAAACAATTATTCATCAATTATTAAAAATTTCAGATATAAACTGTATATTTTGGGTATATCCTCTGGCAAAACATGAATCTACATTTGCCACACTTGACTCAGGTGATCTCCTGGCCAGATGTATCCCTTGAATGCACTGAGCGTTACAGTTGCTCAATATGCGGGGAGTTAAAGCCAGGGGAATTATTTCCCAAGTCCTTTGGAATATAGAGACTTTATATCATAGTCTTTATTGTTATAGACTTTATATCATGGTAATAATACTATTATTACTAAGTTATTACCAGTGTTAACGGTTTACTTGTTATTGCACTGAAGTGACAATCTACTTGTAATATTTTTAGAGAGATTCTATGATACCAAAACAAAAATACACCGGTATCTAGGATCCTTTAAAATTTATTTTAAAACACAACATTTTGAATTATACTATAATTACTATATTTCTGACTTTATTAAACCTGGGCCCTGTCTTACAAAGAGTTGCGATTGAATCGCAAGTCCTTCAATCAATCGCAAGTTTGCAGTCTCCTTTCTCTTTAACTTGCGATTGATACCAATCGCAAATAAGTTGCGATTGGTATCAATCGCAAATAAGTTGCGATTGATATCAATCGCAAATAAGTTGCGATTGATATCAATCGCAAATAAGTTGCGATTGATATCAACTCCTTGTAATACGGGCCCCTGGTATGGATATAACATGATCTTATTTACTGACAACGCCATGCATTTGTAATTGTATCCTCCAGTTAAGAGAATGTTGAGTTCTGGGAAGAGGTGAAAAATAATTTGTGAGCGTTATCATTCTTATTATGCAAGTGTGGAAGAACATCAGATAAGACATGTTTCTGAAAAGCATGGCTCTTCAAATGCCTTCATATTCTAAATATGTCATGTAACATCGTAGAACTCGGGGGTTAGGATTTTTACGCCACGTATTCGTGTAGTCCCATATACATCTTTCTGTGTTCAGTGTTTGTAACTTTACCAAGACTTGGCCAAATTTCTTATCATTTTGATGATTCCAGAACCTTGCAGTACACACAAATTCTTATATGCTAGATGATCAACCTTTTCTGGTCGATTCCACACCGTTTCTTTCACAATGCAATCGCATGACCAGAACTCAATTTTATCTTTAAACCTATCTAATGCTTTTGGTCATGTGACCTTTACCCTTGACCTTTAACCTCTTGACCTCTAACCTTTGTCAGTTCAATCCAGAGGAGGATGAGAACTACAAGCAGATTGTTGAGGCGAAGAAAAAGATTGATTCTTTAGCAAAGAAACAGAGCGGAATATCAGAAGAACTATCCGGTGTAGAAAAAGTAAGTATATTCAATACTTAATTAAAGTGTGCCATCAGGTTTAGAAAGATTTGTCATAAATGGGAGGGTTTTGGTTTATTTTATTTAAGGTGAAGAGTTGACGTTGCATGATCACTTCTACTTTGCTATCCATAACTTCAGTACTTTCAAAATTTAACCATCAATGTATTCATACAGAAAAATTGCTTTAATACTCAGTAGAATATAGAACAGTTTAAACCGTTTACCACTAGACCAAATCACATCTCTCAATGTTGTTGTTGTTGTTTAGGTTTATAGGTATCTATCATTCAGGAATGAAGGTATTCTTTTCCCATTCAATTAGATTTACTTCTTTGAATATATAGATTTGGATAATTTGGATTCTTAAACTTTTTATTTAATGTTGAAGAGGTCAATGGCTGGCAAGCAAAAGGCCTCGGTATCGGCTATATTTGGACGTCCAAGGATCGACCTGGACAAGGTACGTTGAGTGTGTGTGTGTAATTGGGTTTTTACAGACGTGTATCAATCAGTTATGATTATTTACGTCTGGGGACCGACCTTTAACATCACCATCCAAAAGACGTGACTCAGTTTCGAACCTGCGTCCTCGGCTGAATCAGTTTGTAACTTCCACTGTTAGCTGGATTACAGGCGCATGCCACAACGCCTCGTTGTGAAGAATAGCATTGTAGTCTTGACTCAATGCATTTTCTTTTCTGTACAGGGTTATCTGCACAAGGAATTAGAAAGTAATTCTTTGTCTAGCCTGGGGAAGAGACTAGCGGCATGTCATGAGGAGTATGTAAGACTTCTAGAGAAGCTAGATGCACTGGTAAGTATGTCGTGAGATGAAGAGAAAAATAATATTCTTAATCTGAAAAGGTGGAAAGTATACAAGAAAGGAAGATGGAAGAGAAGGGAGGGAAAAAAAAGGATACAGGGACTTAAAGCCCCTCTAATGTGGGAGCTCCCAAAATTTTGTGACAAAACCTACATTTTGTATTCTTTCATCTAACCCTGTAAGTTGGGGTTTTGATCGGATCGGAAGATCTGAGCGACACCTGCGCACCTTTGATCAGTATCTTTTTTTGTAAATGCCAAACAATGTTGGTCTATCAAATGCTGAAAAACATGCATACAGTAGCTGGCATTATTTTGTCATTTAGAGTTGTTTTAGACCATGTTTGTTGATATTAAGTGCCTTTTCATGAATTTGAAATTGATATTCAATTGATTTCATCTGACCGGCCCTCGATCAGATGCTTGGTAACAGGGTTGCTTTCTTCAATATGCGGCTTCAAACACATTTATTTTAAAAATCCTTGCAGAATTCAGTGTTAAATAACATCCTCTTTCACATTATTATAACATTTAGGTGAAATAAATAGGAGAGAGATTGCCACTGAAATTTGTTCTTCTTAATTGCTGTTTGTGAATATTGAGATACAATGTATATCATTCTCTTTCACATGACCTGTATCTTGACCTCTCTCCCTATTCTGTTTTTGCTCCCTTTATTTCTCCCTTTATTTCTATCTGTACGTCCTTCTTTCCAATTACTCTGTCTTTTTCTTCTTTCTCTATTTGTCTGTCTCTTTATTTCTCTCTCTCTCTCTCTCTCTCTCTCTTTCTCTCTCCCTCCCTCTCTGTATCCCTCTCTCTCTCTCTCTCTCTGTTTCTCTCATTCTCTCTGTGTGTGTGTCTTTTTCTGTCCCTGTCTGTCTGTCTCTCTCTCTCTCTCTCTGTTTCTATATGTGTGCATGTGTTTGTCTCTCTCTCTCTGTCTGTCTGTCTCCCTCTGTCTCTCTCTCTCTCTCTCTCTCTCTGTTTCTCTCATTCTCTCTCTCTCTGTCTTTTTCTGTCCCTGTCTGTCTCTCTCTCTCTCTCTCTGTCTGTTTCTATATGTGTGTGTGTGTTTGTCTCTCTCTCTCTGTGTCTGTCTGTCTCCCTCTGTCTCTCTCCGTATGTCTCTCTCTCTCTCTCTTTCTCTCTCCATGTCTGTCTCTGTCTCTCTTTGTCTGTCCCTCTCTCTCTCTCTCTCTCTCTCTGTATGTCTCTCTCTGTGTCTGTGTATTTGTCTCTCTGTCTCTCTCTATCTGTCTGTCTGTCTCTCTCTGTCTCCCTCTGCCTCTCTCTGTATGTCTCTCTCTCTCTCTCTCTCTCTTTCTCTCTCCATATCTGTCTCTCTCTGTCTGTCTCTATCTGTCTCTCTCTCTCTCTCTCTCTCTCTCTCTCTCTCTATCTGTCTCTCTCTCTCTCTCTGTCTCTATCTGTCTCTCTCTCTCTATCTGTCCCTCTCTCTCTCTCTCTCTCTCTGTCTGTCTCTCTTTGTCTGTCTCTCTCTCTCTTTCGTGTACAGGACCTAGGAGTGTGCAATCAATCCATACGTATGAAGAGGAGGAGTGTTATCAAAGAGATCCAGAGCCAGCTAGACACTAATGATTCCATAAGTACTACCATAGACAAACTACAAAACACTAGTGACAGCTGATGGATTGTGACATAACTCATTCTAGTATTAGCTCTACAAACTACAAGACTTATGAAGTGAACTTGTCTCAAGGAGGTTATAATCATGTGATCGTGTTACCAAGTGATATTATTTGATCAATCAAGATGCAAGGATTTCACAGAGAGTTTTGGTCATGTGACAACCTGACAATCTCTAAGTTAGACTTAACAATTATGGAAAGCTGTTAGCATCCTTGAAAATATTTGTGTAAAAGTTATTTTAAAAGGAACTAATTGTTGATTCAAGTCATTTATATTTTCTATTATCTTTGGAGTTTTCATGTTCTTGATGTGGAATTTATGAAAAGTCTAAAATACTTGAATTTTTTAGTTTTTGAACATATTTCATTATAAGGCTACAAATGGCTCTCCATAATATTTAAGTCCAACTTAGAGTAAGTTCGAATTAGAATCTTTGTGGAACACCCCCCCTGTATGGCATTTGTTTTTTTAAATATATATCATCCATGAATGCAACATTCCCTCATTTGAATATGACAAGTGCTAGTGAAAGTACCATTAATCAGTGGAAGGAAGGAATTCTTTGAACGCACCAAAGTAAGTAGCCTAGCAGAGCAGGGGTAATATTGGACCGCCTTGAGCACCTTGCAGGGTGGATATGTGCGCTATAGAAATATCCAATATTATTATTATTATATCAATTTTTTGTTAATTAAGTAAATTTTGTATTCTTCATCTAACCCTGTAAGTTGGGGCTTTGACCGGTATAGAAAAAAAGACATATGTTGTATGGGACACTACATAACCCTATCAATCAATTGCCTGTGGGGCATTATTGGTATCTCTCTAGGACATTCCTATGTGAGATAATTATGTAATTAATAGATATTTTCACACAGGTACAGTATGTGATGTGGGGTGATGTTTATTTTACCTGACTGCTAAGAAAGCATAAATTCTTGTAAGTAAGCAACCAGATGACCGACAGCTTAAGGCTAGCTAGGTCCTCTCCGAAGGACCTGGTAGTGAGAGTTAATGCCTTACCAAAGGGCACTAGCGCATCGACTTGGTTTCAAACCTGGGTCACCGGTTTACGAGACCACTGCTCTATCAACTGAGCTATCGCGCCTCCTTGAGCTTTGAGCTGGCTTAATACCCTAAAGAGGGGAGATTGGTTTTTACTCAAATACACCATACACAAAGACCAGGAAATGTAACAAAAGAAAGTATTTGAGGAAAGTCAATAGCAGGGTAAGTGTGCTTATAGCCATCAGGTCCAGACTGATCTCCATGTGTACTGTGTGGAATTCACACATTTTGATCCGGTTTTGTTTGTTATAAGAACAAGCTTTTCAGTTGTTATCATATTACTGTAGTCTTGTATTGTCAAGAAATTCAGAAGTACTTACATCATGAAACATTTACCTTTAGAAACTGAGAAAAGTGATATACATTATGAATTATGAAGGAATGTTTTACCTGACTGCTAAGAAAATGCTTGTAAGTAAAGCCTCGGTCACAAATGCCATTACGAACTGCTACGAACGATTTTCAGACAATGGAAATTTGGGAAGACAATGAAAAAACGGAGATTCGTACAAAATTATCATTCGTACGAACCTTTGTGACCGTAGCATTAGCAACCAGACGGCAGACGGTTTTAGGTCCTCTCCGAGGGACCTGGTAATGAGGATTAATGCCTTACCAAAAGGCACCAGCGCATCGCCTTGGTTTCGAACCCGGGTCACCAGATTACAAGACCACTGCTCTACCGACTGAGCTATCGTGCCTCCTTGAATATGTATTCCTTTATAAAGTACCAGTACTTAGTTGAATCTGTGCAGAGTTGTTATTCCAAGCTTTCACAATGTCACGTCTGAGCGATCTGTGACATGGTCATCGAGAGGTTACAGGAAATCATTTTAATTGAAAGAAAAATCTATGTGATTTATTCACTTGCATATACCCTGGGGTCAAATCATAAAGGTGCATTTCATGGTAAACTAACCTCTTGTTGACTTTTCATGAGACTAAAACGTTCTCAGTAGTTTTTTCTTTATCTCTTTTTCTTTTTCATCATCCTTTGAAATGTGTAGTTTGAGTACTCCTAAAATGTATTATTTAAAACTAAGATAACTGTTGACTACAAAGCCTTATACAGGCTTTCCCATAGTTATCTTATTTCATTTCTCATACTTAACGGTTTATCATCATACATGACATATTCTTTGAATGATTTCTATTTGTTTTTTATATTGTATATATGTTATATTTTGATTGTATTTTTAAATGAATAAACAAACAAACAAATAAAAAGATTTGTGGATTAATAATATTTCAATTATTGATGTATATGGTTCTAATGAATTGTGCTTTTATTATAGACATGATAAATCTAGTTACTATTACTTCTTGATGCAATACACAAGGGGAATTAGAATTGATGCTAATGACTTTAACTTTTATTCAACTTGTAAGTTATAATATTGTTGTGATAAATTTTACAATACTTTTGATAAGTATAAGTCTCATTTGATATACATTATCTTGAAATAGATACTGAATATTGATGGTTGTGAAGTTTCCTTACAACAGAAAATAAATCACATTTGTTTTCACTACGGTTTCCAATTTGGTGCCCTTTGATTTTGTATGACGGGATGTATGCTTCTAGCTCCAACAATTTGCTATGCATAAGTTCTATTCCAAATTCTGAACTTAAAGACAAACTTGAGTTCAGAGGAGAGGCAAAACATAATTTGTGAGTGTTAATAATTATGCAAGTGTGTAAGAAAATCATAGAAAAAATGTTCCCTGAAAAGCATGGCTCTTCAAATGCCTCCATATTCTAAATATGACAAGTAACAGCTTAAAAATGAGGCCCGGTTTTTATGCAACATGGTTTTGTAGTCCGTGTTCTTTCTGTGTACATGCAGTGCTATAATTGACCAAGATTGAGCCAGACTTCTTATCATTTTGATGACTCCAGAACCTTGCAGTACACACCAATACTGATTTGCTACATGATCAACTTTTTCTGATCGGTTCCACACCGTTTCTTTCACAATGCAATTGCATGACCAGAACTCAACTTTATCTTTAAATCCTTGACTACATTTACAAGCCTAAACCCAATTGCATCCCTAAAATTAGCCCTATATCTTTCTTGAAATAAAACCTGCAGCGCAGATGTGGAATAACCACAGGGAGGCTAGGCCGGAGAGAAGTGGAGTGATAGTGGTAATATTTAGAAAGATTGGTGGATGAAAAGAATCAGGGGGGCGTTTCACAAAACTTGTCATCAGTGACAAGTGACAGTTTTTGTTTTAAGCTACTGAAATCCTTGCTTCTGATTGGTTTTCAGCAGATTTGTTATTGATTTTTGACAAAAGGAAATATAAAAGAAAGAGAAACACAAAGGGGTAGTATATAGGAGAGATACAGGAGAGAGTTGGGGGAGAAGAGACGGAGAAAGAGGTGGTAGAAATAGGAGATCGGAAGAAAGGCCGGTATAGCAGAAACGAGAGAGAGGATGGGAAGGGGGGTAGAAAGGAAGTAGAACTCATGCACTGATGAGAGATAGAGGAAATTTGAGGATAAAAGATCCGGGGGTGAGATATCAAGAGAAGAGGTGGGAATTGAAGACGTAGGTATATTATATTCAATTCAAGATTTTATTCCAGACTCGGCTGCAAGAGCAGAGGTCCATATAACATATTTACAGGACTGTATAGATATAAACAATAAACAAGAATAAGAGAGGAACATAATAATCCGACATAATTACATGAACAAGTATAAACAATGAACAAAACTAAGAGGGGTACCCATAATAGATTATACGAAAAAACAAAAAACCTCTGCCGACTATATACAAGAGATGAGATATAACGAGGAGTATAGTGGGAAAGAGAGGATACAGAACGGAGATGAGATAGAGAGAGGGTAGATGAGTGGGAGAGAGGGGTGGGGGAAAGGGAGGGGATTACTATTATGGCGAGAGATAAATGAATTTTAAGGAGATCGAGAGAAGGAAGTACGTCTGACGAGGTGAGCCTAAGACCCGGGGGGGGGGGGGGGGGGGAGGGGACTCACATACATACGGGGGTGTATGGGTCACTTTGTCACACAAAAATCCTACATGGGTCTCACTTTTAACAAAAATACTATTAAAAATGGGTCCGTTTGGGGATCTAAGAGAGTAGGGACTGAAAGAAAAAGAAGGAAAGATTTAGAGGAGATGTGATAAATCATAAGAATAGATGAGAAGAGGGGATGGGGGTAATTGAATGGCGGGGGGGGGGGGGTATAAAGATGAGAGATGAAGGGAGAGAGAGAGAGAGAGAGAGAGAGAGAGAGAGAGAGAGAAACGGGGCTGGAGAGGGATGCAAACAATGAGGGGGGTGTAAGAGAGAGAGGGAGAGAGAGAGAGAGAGAGAGAGAGAAGGGGGGGGGGTAGTAAATATGGGAGATGGAGATAGACTCGCGGGGCGTGGTGGTTTAAAAAGGGGGATAAGTACCCCTTCCCCCTTTCCTTTACAACCGATTTAATTGTTCAATTATAACATGACCAAACTGGGACGAATTTCAAATATTGATGCTTTGTCGGGGAATTAAGACTATATATTTTATATATATATATATTTTTTTTTTTGGGGGGGGGGGAGATTACTTCTGCTCGAGAGAATTGCATTCTGGATTAACTATTGTCGGCAGTATATTATCCATCATGTGAAAAATCAATTTCATGCCTCATAAGACCATTATTGATACGGAAGGAACCAATTATCTGGGAAGAAGAAACAAATTTATATGTTGAAACAAGGTTTAACAAAATTATGAATCCCCGGTGATGTGTTTGTTTTATCGTTGTAAAAACACAGTTTTGCAGTATCCAGAGTGGAAAACCTGACATCACTTGAACTTGAGCATTATATTGAACTATAGTCGTCAAACAGGAACCGGGTGTACTACATGGACAGTGGCGCCGGAAGAGGGGGGGGGGGTTAAACGCCCCCAAAATCAGCATAAATTAAGGACTAAAAAATGGTTTGTATTTTTTACCAAAAAGAAGAAGAAAAAAAAATCTGAATTGATCGAATAAAAATTATATTCCATTCAAAGAAAATGAGATTAAACAAGAATTAAATTTCCAAGACTTTCCGCATGCCCTGCAGAATGGCGTGGCCCGGGGGCTCGACCCCCCCCCCCCCTTTCACTTAAAAAAAAAGGTATGTTAACGAGAAAAAGAAAGAATGAGTGACCTGCTCATTTGACAGTAATTAAATGCCTAAAACCCCTGAGCATCCGGGGGCTCCACCCACTGGACCAGGGGCGTCGCTAGACCTTTTTCAGTGGGGGGGGGGGGGGGGGTGTAGAGGCCAACGACTATCTCTATAGTACTTTTTTTTCGACGACATAAATATACGAATTATTTCGTCAATTTAGTCAGCATCATAGCTATATATTTTAATGTAGCCGCGGAGCTAGGATCTCATTTTAGGGAGGGGTGGTAGTGAGCAAGCGAATCACCTTAAGGGGTGTGGGTAATAGGCCTCTCGCGCGAAGCGCGGAAGCTTAGTCGTTTCCATAAATAATTATTGTTATTAGGAAAAGAAGATGATTTATTGTACCGTTCTCGACTGTTAATCCTTATCTGAATTCAGTTCTCCCCTCCCGCGCAAAGCGCGACAATTTTTGACGTTTCATTAAATTAATAGAGCCTGAAAGTAAACAATTCGTTGAACCGTGCTCGACTCTAAATCCTTGTCTGAATGAAGTCCCCCCCCCCCCCTCCCGCGTTTTAACGTTTTGAAGTTTTGACGTTTCCTTTAATTATTAGAAAAAGCAGACGATTCCTTGTACCATTTTCGACTCTTAATCCTTGTCTGAATTCAGTTTCCCCCTTTAGCGTGAAGCGCGGAAGCTTTGGCGTTTTCTTAAAGGTAAAGACCATTTATGGTCATGCGATTGCATTGTGAAAGAAACGTTGTGGAATCGATCAGAAAAGGTTGATCATCTAGCATTTAGCATCTGCAAGGTTCTAGAATCGTCAAAATGATAAGAAATTTGGCCTATTCTTCGTAAAGTTACAAGCACTATACACAGAAAGATGTATATGGGACTACCCTATATCTCTCACAGACCATGAGAGAAAGAAATTTACCAAATATATGAATTAGTAGGCGGTTTCCCGGCAAATTTTTTATCATCATGTATTAGTCAAAAAATATTCTTTCACATGATTGGTAATGAGAGCTTCCATTTCATTTTTTGAAATTGGGGCGTTTCCAATACTGGTCTTTACCTTTAAATTATTAGAGAAAGCAGACGATTCGCTGTACCGTTCGCGACTCTTAACCCTAATTTGTCTGAATTCAGTTTCCCCCCTCTCGCGCGAAGCGCGGAAGCTTTGACATTTCCTTAAATTATTAGAGAAAGCAGACGATTCGTTGTACCGTTCGCGACTCTTAATCCTTATCTGAATTCAGTTTCCTGTGTTTCCTTAAATTACTAGAGAAGGAAGACAATTCGACGTACCGTTTTTGACTCGTCTAAATGAGTTTTCCCCTCCCGCGCGAAGCTCGGAATTTTGGGCGTTTCATCAAAATATAGAGAAAGAAAGACGGTTCGTCGTACCATTGTTGACTCTTAATCCTGTTTAAGAAAATTTTAAACCTCTGATTTCTTTAGCTGATATTATAGGAAAGTGAAACTTCGAGAAAATACAAGTATTGTAGTTGTAGTCACTCTCGAAGTCGCATGCGCGTACGCAGGATTTTTTCAAGGGGGGGGGGGGGGGGTTTAACATTTATAAATCGGGCCGAAAATTTCGCAACGATTCAGCCAGCCGCTGAATAAGCGGGGGGGGGGGGGGGGTTACACACATAAAAATACCAAGGGGGGGGGGGTTAACCCCCCCCCCCCCCCTGTGTACGCGCCTGCGAAGTCGTCACAGTGAATAAAAAGTCACAGTTCGAAGGGAAAAAAACTTGTCGGCCGACCGACAATATACATCTCACCGACTTCAAACTTCTGTATTGATATAGTACACGAGGATCGAGCAAGAATACCGTCACAGCTGACCCGACATAGCAACATATTTACCCGTGTCTTTCTTGCTCCCTCGACGAGACGACTCCACCCAACAACCCCCTTCTCTCTTTTACTCCCACTCATCCTCTATCAGGCTCTGACCTCCCCTCTCTCTCTCCTCTTTTTCATCCCCCGTTTCTTCTGTTTCCATTTTCTCTTTTTTTCTTCTCTTTTTCCTTTTCTTTCTTTTCCTTTCTTTCCTCTCCTCCCTCTTTTTCTTTTTTCTCTTTTCTTTCCTTTCTTTTCCTTTCTTTCCTTTCTTTTCCTTTCTTTCTTTTCTTTTCCTTTTTCTTTTCCTTCCCTTTCCCTCTCTTTTTCCCTCCCCCTCTTCTCTTTTTTCCCGACGGCAGCGCAATTTTACCGACAATATCCTGACAGGTGGGGGGGGGGGGGGGCTGTCGCACCCCCACATCCCCCTTTGGCGCCGCCCCTGCATTGGACCCCACGCCAATTCGTGACTTCGACTTACCAGCTCGTGTCACAAATAATGTATACCCTATCCAAAAATGTTTATCTGACCGCAATTTAATGCCTAAAACCCGTGAGCTTCCAAGGGCTATAGCTCCGCCTCTTGACCCCTGCCGGGGCAACACCCTGGACCCAACGCCAATTTACGCTCCATTCCCTTCACTCGCTACGCTAGTTAACTCTGAAAAAAATGTTCTGCGGGGCCTGCATGTACGTGTAGGAGTAGTGTGGGGGTTCCAGCCACAATTTTTTTTTTTTTTTTTTGGGGGGGGGGGGGGGAAGCGAATTACTAATTCAATGAATATGATCCAATCAAACAGGATTGCTTTCAATTCAATTTTGTCATATAAACTTAACAAAAATCGAAAGCAAAGTATATTTAAGATAATTGAAAGGAAATATAAACATAAGAAATTATGGAAATTGATTCATGTTATTATTTTTTATTACGACCGGCTTTTACGCAACTCACTTCAAGATTAAGACGTAAAGAAGAAGAAGCCTAATACGAAGAAGAAGAAGAAAAAGAAGAAGAAGAAGAAGAAAAAGAAGAAGAAGAAGAAGAAGAAGAAGAAGAAGAAGAAGAAGAAGAAGAAGAAGAAGAAGAACTTGAAGAAGAAAAAGAAGAAGAAGTAGAAGTAGAAGTAGAAGTAGAAGAAAAAGGCAACGACACGTGAAGAAAAAGAAACGTGAAGAAACCCGGGAAGGACAACAAAGAAGGGAAAAGAAAAGGGAGAGAGAGAGAGAGAGAGAGAGAGAGAGGGGTAGAGAGAGAGAAAGAGAGAGAGAGAGAGAGGGAGAGAGAGAGAGAGAGAGAGAGGGGGGGGGGGAGGGAGAGAAGGGAGAAGTCGAGAGACAGTAGTTATGAGGCATAATAACATGCTCATGATCATGAGAGGGAGATAATAATAATTGTTCTTCTTTATTGCGACCTCTATTGGGGGTGGGTCATCGTAATGAATTGTGGGTATCTCATTGAAACTAATAATGCTACTATACTACAGGAATTGTCAATAGGAATTGTACACAAAAATGGTTACACACGAAGCCTATGTATTTTATGTACACGGCGGCTACAGGATTAGAGCCGGTTATAGTCATCATCAATTCTGAGCCTGTAAGTATGCCTTATGACTATACTGTAACATTTCATCACATATAAATAACATTTGTGGTACGTTTATTTATTTTTATTGCCTGATAATTATTTGTTATTTGTTTTTTTAGTGGAATTGGAGAATTCTTGTGGTGATAGTGAGCCGTATCGGGTGTCTTTTTATCGGGAGAGTTTCCCATCAAGATCCCATTCAGTTCAGCCCGTATGTAGACGTGCTGAGCTGGGCCAAGCTCTCACTAGTCTCAGCTCTGCTGAGCTTAGCTTACTTACATGTGCAATGTGACTACATTCATGCATGGTAGAACTCAGCTCAGTCGAGACGGAGTCTGAGATGTTACTTGTATAGTCTAATGAGATTAGATAGTCAGCAGTAGGGGCGCTGGTCTAAGAATGAGGATCGTCCTCATAAACAAGGATATCCTCATAAACGCAGACAAAATGCGCCCTCAAAAATAAGGGTTGTCTGCATTTTCGAGGACGTTTTTTTTCATCGGCGCTCTGGGGGTTTCATGTTACAGAACGGCCTGCTGGCGATGCCAAAAATGGATTCCCAGGGGAAAATAACCCTAGTTCACCGTCTACTTTTATGGGTTGTCCGTCTTCCCAAGTATTTATTGCTCATAATGTGAAGGTCTCTGTACAAAGTCAATGCAAAATGATTCAAGAAAATCATTGCAGAATCCGTTTTTTGCATCGCCAATGCGCCGATCAAAAATATGAAACGTCTGAGAAAATGCAGAGGGTCCTTATTTTTGAGGACGCATCGATCTGTGTTTACGAAGACGATCCTCGTTTATGAAGACGATCCTTATTCTCGGACCAGCGCCCCTACTGGTCAGTAAGTGTTGTTTTTCAGAAGGAAAGGTGGCGCTTGTTCAGAAGCCTATCCAAAATTTTACCCGTCGTAAATCCGGCGTGGAGATACCCTACGTGAAGATACCCTACGTGGAGATAACCTACGTGGAGATACCCTATGTGGAGATACCCTACGTGGAGGTGGAGTCTGGCTAACTCGGCCCAGGGGACAACTCGGCCCAGCTGCAAAACAGTCATTTTTTGCATGTTTAGCTTTAGGGTTAGGTGTAGGGTTAGGGTTAGGGTTAGGGTTAGGGTTAGGGTAAGGGTTAGAGTTAGGGTTAGAGTTATGGTAAAATGACAAAAAATAACCGTTTTTGCAGCTGGGCCGAGTTGCCCCCTGGTCCGAGTTAGCCCGGATCCGTGGAGATGCCCTACGAAAACATAGACTAGAGTTAGGGTGTCTGATCGCGCACCCAATGTTGTGTGCTAAAACCCTTCCCATAGAGATTGTACGCTTCCCTATGTGGTCTACGTGCATTGCGCGACCATCCAAAATTGGTCAATGATTTTATGAAAAAATTTGAAATTCAAACCTTTATAACAAATGATCCTGAAGGTGAAACTCAATAAATGAGGTGTCATATGAAAGAGCAGGTTTTTCTCCATATTCCCCATCGGGGGCCACCCCCAGAATTCTAAAAATATCTTGGTCAAAACAGCGATTGAAATGTTGTTTGCATCCTAGCTCCAAAATTTGCCACTTTCCTGAGCTGCCGCCCCGCGGCTTAAGCAGGGCTAGACGTAAGGATAATATCCAGATGCTTTTTTTTTCGCTAGCCCCAAGGGATCATTTGTTATAACAGTTTGAAAATACCCTTCCCACATTTTTGGAATCAGCTAATTAGGGAGGCGTGAGCTCCGCTCGGTCCAAACCATGGTTACATCGTGTAACATGTGCGCTTATAGTGAATGAAAGTATGGGTGGCCGTTCCCGTCATAGAACCCGGAAGTGAATACACGTTGTAGTCAATGGCAATATCGCGGAGAGTTGTCTCCGCGATATTGCCATTGACTACAACGTGTATTCACTTCCGGGTTCTATGGCGGGAACGGCCACCCATACTAGTCAATGGCACATATCGCGAAGACAGCGTGGCTCAAGCTTGCAAGTCGCGCATTGGCTGAGCAACTTGCGTACGATATGCATACGCTTGCATATCGCGCGATACAGCTGTTTGGCTAAATTTAGCAAAACAACATAACTCTGCGTGTACGTCTTTTTCGTCGATTCTGAGCAAAATGCTATGAATATTTCAGCATTTTGAAGGGGCTGTATCTTTTGATAGAAACATCGGCGAGACTTGAAATTTGAAATGTATTATTCTGATTACATTTTTAATTCAAATATCAAACAAAAATGGTGAAAAACGATCCCAAATTGAAAATTGAAAAATCATTCAGACACCCTACTAGAGTAAACGGAGGGGGTTTTCGGCCACTTAAGACAAAATCCTATTTTTTGGACCCTTTACTTCCTATTTATTATCATTTCTTGTTCAAATCATGAAGCAAATATTATTATTATTTAAACAAAAAGAGAATCCCAGAAAAAAAAATCACGAATTGCCATGACAATATTCATTTCAATTTTCACTGTTTCGGAGTCAGTTATCGGCATAGCGAACCAGTTTTCGGCCGCATGTACAAAGTCAATAGGAAGTGCGCGCACGCGCCGTGCGTTTCCGCGCTGATCTATAGTACTAGCGGGCGGAGCAGGTATCCCACGCCGGAGCTCGCCAGGCAGAAAACTAGTACTGCAGTGATCGGACATTGGAATCTGAATTAGACAGAGATATCATGTGTGCGTTGCGGTGTCCGGCTGCATTGATTTAATACATGCGGTGAGATACTTTTGAGCTTGCGACCAGCACAAAATCGGGCTCTTAATCTGAAAAATACTTGGAATAAAGCTCATTTTATGGTACCCATATTTCTTACAGACACGCGTAAGATACTCGATTTTTCAGATTCGGGTAGCGGGACCGCCGATTACATTGCTAAAATGTGATATTTTGGGATATATTTTTCATTGCAAATGTGGTTCTTCAGTGACTCTGGTATGGTATGGTATGTGTGGGATATGTGATATGCTATTATGCGATGTATTTTAAAGGGATTTTACCATGCATCCAACCAATTGGCCGAAAACTGAAGCTGGTCGATTACCCCCTCCTTTACTCTACCCAAAATGAAGTAAATATTCATTAAATGTCTGAATAAAGATCATGAGTTAAAAGTTGTTATGTTTATTACCTGTTTCGTGTCAATTTTCTTGTTATTTTTGGAGTATTTTTCAGAAAAACCTTGATATTAGTATACACTTTTTCACAGGTTTCACGGCAAACCGCTGCACAATACAAGTAGTCTACATACCGATGGTGAGTTGTTGGCGGGCGTGCGCCTGTGTGAAGTTATCTACCGTAAGGTCTTAGATCCTCATTACTGTAGATAACTTCATACAGGCGCACGCCCGCCGCGCCCGCAACCCACCATCGGTATGCACTTGTATTGTGCAACGGTTTGCCGTGAAACCTGTGAAAAACCTGGTTCTTTGAAACTCTCACATAAGATTGTGAACACACACTTGTCTATACCGCTCTGTTCCCTTCTTGTTATTGAAAGAGTCAAACAAGCCAGTTACATGTAAAGGGACTTGGTAACATTGTTCAGGTGAGAGATAGTAAGGTAGTGACTTAAATGTATAGGTATGGAAATAAACGAAATGAAAATGAAATGTTACAGTTCTACATGTACAATTAAAGATATTCTGAAAATTTGAGTGAAAACAGACCATTATTAATGATACAAATTGGGAAAAACTGATCTGATCGATTCCTTAATTCTCTCAACTACATGTACATTATTAAAATTTAATTCCATTTTAGGTGAATGTAAATTGTCACAGGGCAATAAATTGGCTCTTCATACCGTTCCAGACATTTAAGCATTTAATAGCCTGTTTTATGTCTTTTTTTCATAAAGAATGGTTGGGAGAATTTGCTGTTAATCACTATTAGAGGGTGTTGCACAGTGACGCCTTTAAAGAAAACCATAGATATCTTTGTGGTTTGAGTATTTTGTCAGGACTTTTTGCATCTCGGAGGGTTAGTACAGTAGAAGGAATATAATAAGTAACATTTTATACAAGTTTTCATCAACCTTCAAGAATGTTACCGAGTCACTTTAAGGAAAACGGATTGTACCTCAATGTTAAGAAGACAAAGATCATGATATATGTGGAGGAAAGAATGACCATCATACATGTACATGTATTCAGGCTGATGGAGGGGACATTAAAGTAGTCAACACTTGTACATATACCTGGAGGGCATTTCACAAAACCTTTTTTCAATGACAAATGACAAATATCATTGACAAATCTGCTGACAACAAATCAGAAGCAAAAAACAAAAAACAAAAACTGTCATTTGCCACTGATGACAAGTTTTGTGAAAGGCCTTCCTGGGCTCTCTGATGGTGGGATGGTGGTGGAAGCTCTGGTGGACGCCTCTCAGGGCTTAAATTAATTCAAGGCCATGGCCGTGGATGCCCCTTTGATTGGCCTCAATGCCCCTCTCATTGGCCTTGGAGATTTTGTGTGCCCTTTCCAATTCTTCCAATTTGTGCTGTAATATAGGAATGTGCCCTACAGAAAAGTGGCCTTGCCCTAAAAATATTGAAATTTAAGGCCTGGTCTCGCATGGCTACATCATCTCCCACAAGCCTTACTGACATCTGGGAAGACAGAGGGATCTCTCAAGGAACACCAAGATTCATATGATGAATGCTTTGGTCTTTCCAATCCCTACATAAATGGGTCAGAGACGTAGGCTCTTGGAGCAGCACATACATGTACTGTAGATGTAGAAAGAAAATCCACGCTTTCGATTTTTGAAATGTGGTGTTGGAGGGGGATGCTGAGGATATCCTGGAAGGTTCATAAATCAAATGATTTGTCACGAATCAAATTGGAGCGAAGGTCACCCTATGCTAGAAGATAGCAGGGAAAAAAATACTTAAAAAAATTGCTTGCATGAAAATAACACTCTTTAATTTGTTTTGCATTGAACTCTATGCAAATTTTTTGTGGGCTTTTTTATGACTTTCGGAGGCTCTTTTTAGCATTTCGGGGGCTAAATTGCTTCGAGCCCCCGTGAATTTTTTTCACTGGAAGATAGATAAGAACAAGTTGCAATGTTTTGGACACATTTCTAGGAGTGAAGGTCAGGAAGGTAACATCCTGGAGATGATCATTACCGAAGGTCATTACCCAAGGTCATTACCCAAGGTCATTACCCAAGATTATGTTGAGGGTCAACGAAAACATGATAGGCTAAAAGTTTGATGGGCTGACGGAATAAAAGAGATTACTGGCATGAACATCTGCAAAGCTAATCGCTATGCCCAGGATAGAAACTTGTGGTTGGAACGTCATCATCAATAGGGTCACAAAGGGTCAGTCATGACTGGTAGGACTAGGGTCACAAAGGGTCAGTCATGACTGGTAGGAGGACGACAACATGTAAATTTATGCTCCCTCTGCTTTTAGGAGGGATCAGCAACAAATTAGTGCTTGTTATATTCTGTACATTGTATGCCGATCAACAGATCAGTGGATCGTAAAGGAAAGAGATGAGATACAGTAATTGGCGGTGTATAAACCGCCCTCGTGTATTAACCGCACCCCTCTTTTTCGCCCGACTCTGTCGGCAGCAAGTCAGGTCATTAAAAAAACAGTAGAGGACCTAGGATAGAATCTTGTGGTACGCTGTGTAATAGAAGAAAAATTGGAGGAATTACTGTATTATTATATAAACTACATATTGAGATCTATCAGAAAGATTACTTTCAAACCAAGATGATAGACAAATTAGAGTGTTGTTCTAGTTTCCGAGTGGTGAGCCAACCCACCGATTACTGAGCTGGGAGACATTGCCAGGCATAGCGCCAGGTAGAGGGGAATAAATTGAAACTTTTAAAAAAAGTGCGGTTTATACACCGTTAATTACGGTACATGAATTGTAGCCAGAATGCCAGATGCTGTATAACCTGGCACACTTGTGAGTTCAGAGAGGATTAGTATTTGTGAGCAATGTCTGCAAAACAAAACATATTACAAATATTTTAAGGCAATGCAATATGGGTAATTTTAGTGAAATACGGTAATACGATATCACCTCTTACAAAAACAAAAATAGAAACCTTAAAAACTGTGGAATCGCATAGAAACATGTACAAGTAAACCCCCGCAACCCAACAAAAACTTTGCTTTACAAATTTTAATGAAAGAGCAAACATTTTTGATACTTGAATGTACCAGTAAAACATTTTTCTGAAATTTTACTGGCCCGGGCCAATGGACCATTGGTGTCGAGTTTTCGTGAAAATCTGATTTTTCTCCCCCCAATTTTTTTTTTAAGGATACTCAGTCTGTTTTTTTTTTGTCAAGAGGTTGGCATCTCTGGTAGAGTTGGCACATGTACTGTACAGGTGTATATCATTTATTTTTTAATATGTAATGTAGTAATAGTGTAGTACCTATTTGTAAATAATTTATGTACATGTACATGTACATGTATGTGGTAAATTGATGTAGTAAATAATACTGATAGCATGTGTTTCTCTTTTTTCTTTCTCAGGGAACCATCATGGGGAGCCAATGTACAGACTGATTGCCTCACTGAAGGTCAAAGGTCACTCCCTCATCAGGCAAAGGCTTCCTGATATATTCCGGAGTTACCAAGGTTACATTGAAGTTAGACTGATCGACCTCAGTACCAGGATAAACTTGGGCCCAAATACTTGCCATTCTGAACTGGGATTGTAATGTCTTTATCAAGGCAAGATGCCATTTTTATACAGAATTACATGAACATGTAAATCAGTTTGAAATGTACATTACATAGGGGTAGCGTGTGTCACCTATGATTTTCTTCAGATTTTTCTTTTTTCATCGTTTATTTCCAAAAGGTTTTTATAAAAATTGCTTTATATTGTGACAATTCCATTATGCGCGTTACATGAAACTAATATTTATATCATATTGGAAACAAAGTTTTGCACCGTAGTGAAATTGAATTCAGAATATATGGAGTGATATCTCTGAGCTTGGAAGGTGCTAAACTCAAATTGGATCCTCATTTGGAATATTATTAACTTTATTCTCTGGGATTTGTGAAAGAGAAAGTAGACATGATGTGTGATGTCATGCCAACAATATCGGAGGATGGCGTAAGTTTGCGGGACTCCACGCTCGGTGACGACGCAAACTTTGAGCAGTTGATGGTAAACATGCTCGAGGAACGCGATCGTTTGATGGAAACGCTTCGTGAGACGCAGGACTCATTAGCAATCACTGAGCAACGCGTAGACGAAGTAGAGAAGGAACGTGATCTGCTACAGAAACAGATGTCCTCTAATCTACCCCGTGTAAGTATATCGATTCAATATCTTCAGAAAACAATTTTTAAAAGCCCCCCCCCCCCCCCCCCCACTGATTTGCTGACTTCCTTTTCCCTTTTGGAAAATTCCATTTCTCTGCAATACTTACAGAAATATGATTAAATCTGTTTGCCTTGTGGAGATTGTACGTACATGTAGTGATTAGTGCATTATTACTAGAAAATAACACCCATAAACATAAACATGTAGATATTGCCTGTGTTTATGCGTTCTGGTTCATATGAGTCAAAAAGAGAGCTGTGATTCTGTGGAAGTTAGTGTATGGAGGATTCAATTTTGTATGTGTGTCGCATTATCCCAGCCTGAATACGATTGGATATTAAAGAGAGTGTGTCATGACGAGACCACATTGTATGTGTCTTTCCCGTGGGCCTACTTGCGGCCAATCCGGTATAATATGACTACGGATGACCGAACTGCAGCATTCACGTGCGTGCAACATACGCAAAACCGAAGCGCGAGGAGAAGTTCGGTCTATTTCGTGAACGCTATCGCGCGTTGGCCCAGTTAATCAAGTCTAATCGTTTATGTGCAGTTGTCCAAAAGAAAATGTACTGTACAGTAGATGACATTAACCAGTATTTCCCATCATACACTCCCTTTAAAGATTAACAAGTTTCAGTTTTGTGACCGAGTCTCTAGTATGTGTGGGTGTGTATACAATGCTAAACTTGATTCTTCACAGACTTTATAATAGCTTAGCAGCGCTAATCTTTTACTCCATTGTTCACATTCATGGTGTTCATGACTGACATGTTTTGTTTCTTAGCAGCCCCTTTCTTCAAAGCTCATCCTTGGACTGAGTTGATGTAGCTAAATGGGCCGTGCAACCAAACTAGAATACATTGCTCTTAAAACGAAAAGTCATGAACATGTAGACTGTAGCATGAATACATTGTTCTGAATGTTAATCAGCTTTAGGTCACTGGAATTGAATAGAAGTCTCTTCAAGTCAGGAAACTCGGGATTATTAAACTTGATCTTCTTGGGTCATCTTTCATTAGTTTGTTTTATAGCAGTTCACTTTAAGTGCGAGAGAAGGGAACCTCTGTACAGTACTTGTAATTAAAAAAACATTTTCTGTGGTGAGGGGAGAAGAAAAAAACAAAAATATTCAAACCGATTCATTCAATGAATTCCAGCTACCTGAGTGTAGATGTACTGTACAGTACATGTACCAGTAGTCATCTCAGCTGTACTGTAGCCCCCCCTCCCCCTTCCCCCTGTAGCGTACACACGTATAGATCTAGATACAAAAGAAGTGTGGTTAAGCTGGACTGTACATGTACAATGTAGGTGCTTCGGGTTCGTCTTGATGAATGAGAGGTGACAGGTTAGTGTATACTGTTTTGTTTATGTTTTAAACTGAGATGAGAGATTGAGGTCATCTGTGACAGTTATAAAAACAACCTGATTAATGGTTATTATATCTGGCACAGTCTGTACGACATGTAGGGCATTGTAAACCCGAAAGTGTAAAGGGTATGGTGGTCAGGTCTTGTATATTTTACTGGTTTGAGATGATCCATTTTTTAAGCCAGACATTTCGTTTAGAATATTTTTTTCAATTATTTAATGATAATTAATTGTTTTGATTATTATACAAATAATACACAGCTCAGTAAGAGCATTGGTAAGAAATTACCCAGACAACTTTGGAACAGTCTAACGTTTGGACTGTCTTGAAGGTACCCAGTGTGGGTAATTTTACTGATTCCCGAATAAAATTATGTGTATTATTTGTTTTAAAAGATTATGTTTTATTTGTTTTATAAAATGATAATAATAATAATAATAATTGATTCTTATTGAGCGCTACTACAGACAAGCTGATCAGAGCGCTCTACAACAGAAAAGAAACATACAAATCATATCAGTTAAACAAGGAACAGTATTTTAAGATATTATGAACGAAAAGAAAATTTAGCTACTCAAAAAGTACATTATGGATTCAAGATGGAAAGAGTTGGGTTTATTTGTTTTATTTGTTTTGTAAAATGATGTTTTATAACATGATTTTACTAATTGCCGGTCATTAGCATTTGATAATGACCGGTTATTATCAAAATTATGTGTTAGGCAAAATAAATGCCTGGTCACATGTACGCTCTCGACCAATCATTTGATTAGGATCCAAGTCATCATCTTATAAAAGATTCTACCATAGTATCAGTGAGCATTTTATGGAAGTCTTAAATACCACCAAACTGTAGTTTACACTGTGTTTTAAAGGATTGTGCCTGTAAACAATGCCCCTGTTTAAAATTTTGTTTGAAGGATTTGAGTCATTGGACTTAAAGAGGCATGTTCCCCGTATTCCAGAGGGCGTTCAAAATACGTACCCGCTGGCGGACGGTGCTAGCTGCCTATTGACACCAACATAATACGGCTCTTACGCAGATGGCATGTTCCGAATGCCCGGACAATACCGATTATCGCATACATGTGCCGAAGTAATGCCAATCGCAGTTCGGCTCTAAGATTCGGCTGCTGTTTCCGCCCACTTCGTGACGTCGCGATCGTCAGCGATCAGCTGGCTTGGCGAAGGCAGGCCAAGCCGCGCGTACTTTGATTGACAGCTGTATGCAAATTAGAAGTCGATCTTCGGAACCAAGATGGCGATGACCAGAGCAGCGCAACTACACTGCGGGGACGATGCTCCTTTAACTTGTTAGGGTTCTTTTTAGGTGAACCCCGAGAATATACAGTATTGTAATAAAGCCCAGCAGTAAAATAACTCCCTTCTATACTGTACAATGCAGCTAAAACAGGAAACTGGAGTACAGTAGATTTCTTCTGGTTATGGAGACCATTGAGTTGTGCTTTGATAAAGACCTCAATGATATTAAAGAGAATAGGAAAGCAGGCTTCTAAACCACTTGATATGAATCTATCTCACACTCACACACAATCTATCATGATTAAACCAAGTCGTCAGCCAGCCAGCCAGCCAGCCATTCAGTCTGTTAGTACAGATAGAACATGTACAGTACGCATACATGTACATGTACATTGTACATTGATTGTATTAAAACTCAGTTACAGCATACAGTGTACATTGAACATGTACTTTGTATAGTACATGATGCTGTATTTAAAGATACACAGTGAATTGTGATCATACCATTTACTTTGGAGGTCCGGGGGGGGGGGGGGGGGGGGGGGGGTGGCTAACAGGATGAAGTCCTGTAAATTCAGAGGATTTTGAGTGCACTTCACATGTGCATAATTATTGCATTGAAGAATTTGTTTATTAGATCAAGTCTTGGAGTGAAATCATTGAATCACATTTGAGGTAAAGCACTATACATGTACATGTAGGTTCTGTTTGAAGCTCATATTTAGATACATGTACATGAAACCCTTAACTCAGGGATTAATACACTGTAAAGGTCTGTGTTAATGAGGCATATTTCAAGATGGTATTCTCATCTTTTGAGTCTTATTTGGAAGTTGAACTTTGAAAGTGATACACTGAATGTGGCATGTAATAAATCATCTTGTCTGCTAGGTGAGAGCAAGAAGGATTTTCATTCCTATGATTTAACACAGAGTTAATGTCATTCTAGCTCTCAATTGGTTCACTAAGTACCAAGCTCTACTGTGACATCACACTGAGTCTATTGGAGTATTTGGTTTGGTTAATATCCTTAGGCCAATGTCTCTTGTGTTCTCAAGGGATTGGGTGTATGACGTCATACAGAGGCTATATCAAGCCACTTTGCATTCTAAATAGGGGAACAGTGCAGAGAAAGGGGTTGGTGAGAAGAGAGAGAGAGAGAGGGAGGGAGGGAGAGAGAGAGAGAGAGAGAGAGAAAGAGAAAGAGAGAAAGTGTGTAGTGTAGTGTGAGGATGGTAAAGGAAGAGTAGAAGAAAGAAAAGAGAAGAGTACATGTAGGCTTTTTTAATTTAAAAAAGAGGATGGCAGCTGTACATGTACTCTGTGTACAGTGTAAATGGTGGTTTAAATTTGAAATGGGTGATGATCAAATAGTATTGTAAGTATATACATGTACACAGTTAACAAGTGATTTTAATAGGACTACTGTATGTACATACCCAATTGTAAAATGTAACTTTGATGTCTTTTGTGTTGCTTCTAACTCAAGAATGAAAGGTGGATTGGTGAATTAGGGTCTTTGTTGAGTAGATGTAGGCTTTAATGTGTAACATTCTCAAGAAACATACATCGGGACAAATCCATTTTTCACATGCTTAGAAAAATTACATAATTTGGAAAGAATTTGAATGATTTAGTTCAACATGTAAACTGTATACAAAATAAAGAATAATACTGTGAACAGATGGTCTACACTACGTGTACAGTATATACACTAGAGAAACGGTACACCATCGGCTTGATGAGGAAGCAGTTTTTTATCAACAGAGTTGTGGATTTGTGGAACAGTCTTCCTGAATATGTT